ATTCTGAGCCTCTGCCGCCAGGCATCGGTTCTTCAGCACCCAGAAATCTACCTCTTCCTCCCATGAGGAGTATCATCCATTCAGGCGTGCTTTCCTCACTGAGCACTTTTTGAAACGTAAGAGTGTCAGCTTCTAATCTAAGTTACTTCTAAATAACTCTAGCAGTGTGGCCTCCTTTAGCCTCCGGTGCTGCCCTCGAGGAGTAAGAATCAGCCTGTCCATCCTGGGCAGGGGGTGGGCTTCACCTAGATGTTCTCCCTCAGACAGCGACATCTAGTGGCCAGAAGACATGGCTCTCTACTGTGCTGTCCGCTTCCCACCCTGAGAGATGGGCTGGTGTTAGCTTTTTTTTTTTTTTTTTTTCTTTTTTCTTTCTTTTTCTTTTTTTCAATTTTTCAGTGTTAGCACTTAAAGTTAGGGTGAACACACGTTCAGGTCCGCCTGGGACACACTGGGTCCACACCTATTGTCTAGGCATAATTATTAATAGTGCCTGTTTTCACTCTTGGAAGTGTTAACAGATTGGATAATGAATTACACAGCCTATTTAATGCCTTATTGTAGCTCTCCCATCTATTAGGTGACTTAACACATCACTTTGAGGTGATAAACTCAGGAAGATTACTCCCCATTGTGTAAAGTAATATTTATCTTTATCTAGGCTGAAATTATCCTTCAAGCGTTATGGGATTTTTTTCCAGCTCTAACGCTGAGGCGGGGTGAACAAGCTCATTTGATAGATTTTAGTCTTACCCACACCAGGCCTTTGTCTAGCCAGATGGAAGCCCCTAATTTTTGTCTATTCCCAGAGACCTGCTCCCTCTGATCATTAGTTTTCCTTGTTAATCAGCCTGCAGTATAGTGTTTGGAAACGACTTGTCTGGCTGTCTGAGAAGTGACACACAATGGCTAGTCCTTTTAGGCACTGATGTAAGGCCATCTGGTAGGTGTGGGATTTCCCAGCTGTATTATAATTATTTTGAATTAAACATTTTTGACTACATAGAGAATAAAGGGCAGAGACACTGCCTAGGCGGCCAATAGTGATCCTTCTGTTTATGCTTGCAGAAAAAGAAAAGACAGAAAAAAAGAAAAAGGGAAGAAAGGAATCAAAAAAGAAAGATCAGTGTATATAATTAAGAAGCAGAGTTATAAATTCAGAAACACTAATTGCAAGTAAAAAAAGAACTTCATTTTGTTGCTTTTTTATCCCAGGGCCAATGTGAAGGGGTAAACATTTTAAGGGTTTATTAGAAAAAAATTCCCCAGAAGGGTACATTAAGTGGACCAGTGATTTATTCCTTTCCAAGAACAGGAATTTTGTAGAAAAAAATTAAGTAGTAGAAGAAAAAAAGGGAATATTTTGTAATAGAAATCCTATGCTTGTATTTTCTATTTTGAGTTTAGAAATTAGACTCCATTAAAAAAAAAAAAGGTGTACAAGTGCCTTCCTTGTGTAAGATGTTTTGCTAGGCCATAAAATGGATCCTGTCATTTCAACATTACAGTTTGTTTTCCGATGGAACATCGAGAGAACATAATAAATTACAGCTCTCTTGCTAATCTTACTTGGTTCTCTTTTTTCTTCATGCTAATAGTCACAAAAATCACTCAAGTGCTGCCTTATCTTACCTTTGCAAGAACTTCCAAGCATTTAGGAAACCGAGTTCTTTCCCACAGGAAACTTAGAATTCGCGCGGGGGAGACTGAGTAAACATGCCGCACGCATTTATTGCGTATACTCTCTGGACTCCCAAGCATTTAAGAACTGCTGGACCCTTGGACAAAGCCTGGGTTGAAGTTCAAATATATTCCATCTTTGATGAAAGAAGCTCCTCAATAAAGTGAACAGCACATTATCTTTATTATTTTTTCATCTTTGTGTTTTATCAAGGAAAAGGCTTTCTCTTGAGCTGAGTCACATTTGGAAGCAAATTCTTAGTGTTAAGTACATAGGGTTGTATTTATAAAGGTAGAGCATACTGGACCTCAGCTGACGGGTACACTAAGGGATCGGTGTGATACTATTCCTATTCTCCTGGGAAAACAAAAGGGGTGTTTTTCTTTTAAAAATATTTTAAATATGTAACTCAGGTCTTTGCAGCTCGCTTAATTTTCAAGGTCCGATTATGAACGCACATGACAGGAACACGTGAATTTATATACATCGTCTCGAAGTACTGAAGGGGTTGCTAGTGGCTGCGGTCAGAGGGGTAAGGACAATGACAAGATACCGTGCAGGTCCAGAGCAGAGACAAAAACAGCCCTTCTGAATAAACGCTGTGTTCTGGAAGAGCACTCGTCTTTTAAGCCTGGCATTGCGCCAAGGGCAGGATACACAGAACTTTCTCCTTTATAAGACACTTGTTTCTTGGGGGAACATTCATGTCATTCTACATATGTTTTAAACACAGGCTTGGAGGCCGTAGCCCCAGAGCCTTCTTAAGGGCTCAGTTAAAAGAAGTAATTTTGCAAATTACAAAGGTGCTCAGTTTGGCTTTTCAAAACTACAGCTCTGAGGCCAACTGTGCCCGTCCTAATTTGGAAATATTTTCTTTCTGGTTTTTATTTTGACATGGATCCTGCTATCTACTTTCATGGCTATTTCCAGCATCCCTTGGGAGCTCCTTCCCCGGTCATCATAGTGCAAACACTCAAGAAAACCAAGAACTCAGTGCTTTCATAAAGCATTTATTTTTATTTGAAAACATTATACAGGCATTACATTGCCACAGCCAGTCCATAGGGGAGCATGCAAATATCAAAAATGGAAAGTTTGTTCAACTTATCGGTGTAAATCTCCTTTTTGGTTCAGATTTTCCACTTGCGGTGTCTGGATTAGTGTGCTTTGTTATGTGGCTTGACAATAGAATCCTACCCATGGGGTAAAAATCTGTCCTGGTAGCTAGCTGGGGACTACTAAGTGGTTATAACTCAAAAACAAACCCAAAACAAACAATACTACACGCTCGCCAAAAGGTTAATAGCACAAGTTAGCAATATCTAAACTAAACATTGAAACATTTTCATGGGACACAGTGGTGCAAATTTTTCCATTGCTTGGTCTACCTGGTTGTGAACTACAGAGTGTGGAGCCGTGGGAAGGTGTGACCAAGGCAAGGGTTGTCCCCAGTGGCGCAGGTTTTCAGGGAGGAAGTGAGAACCAGCACTGATCCCTAGCGGGGTGAGGGGCGCTGTGGTTTGCTTATCCAATTCAGTTCTATACAAGTTGCTAAAGTCTCACTTGTGGAGCAGAGGGTGGTGGCGGGGTCGGGGTTGGGGGGGGGGTGCGGCGGAAAGCTGAACTTTCTGCTGGTGTCTACTGAGGCTGTGAGATTTCAGAAATGAAAACGGCTAGAGTTAATGTTGCCCTACTCCCAGTTCCCACCCGCTCCCGAAGGACCAGTGCTTTTGCACAGAGAAGAGATTGTTCTTTGTTATTTTCTTTTCTGTCCGAAGGGTCAATCTGGGACTCCTGATCTCAGACGGTGCAATATGTTATCAGCTTTTTTAACTGGAGACGAACCAACACAGTGAAGGACTCCAGTGACGTGAAGGTCTTGTGCACAATGACACTGGATGGTAAAGGGCATACAGTGAGTTCACCTTAACATTCACACTTGGTTTCCATACAATGGAGTCAATTAAAATATCCTAGAAAATAATCCAGATGGCCAGTTCTAGCCATCTGTTGATCGCAAACCTTTTTGAAATTTTAATTTTAAAAAACTTCCCAGTCCACTGAGTTGACTTGGAATAGCTCCATCCGCCAGTTTCTCATAAGACTTTACTAAGTGTCTACAAATTAGTGTCATAAGAATGAATAAAAAAGACTAAAACATTTGGCTTTAAAATAAATACTAAAAATGCAATAAATCAAGCAAATTATGCCAACCGAAGGAATGTAAACACAAAAATAAAACCACAGTCTTTAAAGGTCTTCAGATCTGAATGGACAAAATATTCAGAGAAAGGTATTTAATTGGCTTAAAAGGTAGCAGAGAGCAGACACTGGCAAGTTGTTATGACATCGTTGTTTTTTTTTCCTCCAAAAATAAAGCGTATTTCTGAGGGGGCTGAACAGAGATGACCATCAACTCTGCATATCTGAGGAGATAATTTTTCTTCCCTATCTCCAGGGGCAGGACTGCACCGCCTGGGTAGAAGGCAGGCAGAGGGGCCCCCTGCTGCTGACCAGCCATCAGGGGACCTGTTTGCCTGCCCAGGATTTAGGCCTTGGGCAGGCTCTATGGGAATCCTGATGGGGCTGCAATCTGTCCTACTTTACACGGACCCCTCTGGTGTTTTGCTTTGTTTGCTTAAGATGTATTGATCTGAACTGCCCACAGTTTCATAAGCATTTATTTTCCCTTTACAATCCCTGTACTCCATCGCGGATTTTTTTGCATGGTATTGAAACCAGCCAAACTTAAAGACTATTTCACATACTGACACATAAAATTTATTCCAAATCGTAGAGGTCTGTGGTGCTTCTTGATTTTGTGTGTGTGTGTGTGTGTGTGTTTGAAAAAAATAGTTACTTTAAGGGCAACACAATTACACTAGTAAGATATCCCTCAAAGCCTTATCAGGATCCTGCGATGTTCTCTGTATCCCTAAGAATATGGCGTTGATATATTCTGTGGTTGAAGGGATGCGGAATACGACCAGGAGGCCATGCTTTTCATCCACGCCATCTTTATCACTACCAGTGGTCAGATCAATCCAGCCATTGTCACAGACTGCTCCACATCAGCACCTTGACTTTGTTGGGAGGCCATGCAACCGATGAAACCCCACAATGAGGGTGATATCCATGCTGGTGGAGCTTAAAAAGGGTGTCACACAATTTAAGAGAGCAGGGGCCATGGCTTCTTCCAATGACTTGAATAATTTCCATAGTGTCACTAAAGAAGTCTAGGAATTAAAGGTAAAATCAAATACATTTTCGGAAGAGAAGGTATAGGGAGGGGCAGAAAGATTTTATATATATATATATATAACTCTAAACGCACATGATATTATTATTTCTGGGGTTTTCTATGAGCCTCAGAAATGGAACATTCCTTATCCTGTTATTACAGGGACTTCGTTAGCAGAATTATGTGGTACAACAAAAAGGCAATGGTCCAGAGTAATCAGAGATGGAAATATAAAAAGGCTCAAGTGTTTTATATCTATTCCTAGAATAGAGAATTATATGGTCAGTTGCCCCTCCCCACAAGGGTCCCAGCACAAAATTCTTATCGAGCAGGCAATCCAACAGGTAACAGAGGAAACCATCAGCCACCGGGTCCCTAGGCTAAGGAAACTTCTCAGGGGTGGAGCTCCTGTGGCACGCAGCGCTCATATAGACTGTGCAAAAAAATAAAGTATGATTCTTAAAAAGTGACTTGCCATAGAAAAGGGGGACTTCTGTTAACTACACGTGGGTCTGGCGATAGTTCTCGTCAGGAGTACAAAACAACCTCCTGAAAGTTAGTGTAATAACAGTAACAATAATAATACAAATAATAACAATACTTGCTTTTAATTCAAAAGTTTTCACAGTAATTAATGCAGGAGGGTCGCGATCAGGATACACACTAGCTAGGCGTCTTGCTAAGTCAGGTGGGTTGGAGCCCCTGTCTCCAGGGATGGTTAGCTTGTGCCTCTCACAGGCTTTCAGATTTGCTACCTTGCAGTCCACCTGCATACACACACCTAATAAATACCTTTCTCTATGTACAATACAGAGGTGAAGGGTGAACAACGTGGCCACGGAGGTGACTTCAGTGGGCAGGGGGGGCCTTGTCCTAGGCCACACGCACGTGGGGCTCCTCTTCGGTCTCCTGGCCCAGGCTGGTGTAGGTGACCGAGGGCTCCACCTGAGCTGTGGCCGGTAAGTCCACGACGGGGCCTGAAGGATTGCGGAACTGCTTGTACACTCGGGGGTCCTGGGCTATGTATGTGGAGGTGGAGGAGTAGAGCACCAGCCCGATGAGGATGGTGAAGAAAGACAGGAGATAAAGCCCTGAAAACTGAAGAACACGACAGCAAAGTCACTCAGCCGTCAGAGCAGAGCTGCCCCCACAAGAATGAGGCCCCGAGGGACCCGGGAAGAGCATTTCCCCAGCCGAGCAGGTGCTTTGACGAGCTGGCCAAGGCTCCTGATGGGACGCGTAATGTTATCTTCCTAAACTGCCTTGCTCCTATTGATTCTCCTTATCTTTTTCCTCGGCTCTGCAGCGAACACAGAAGAACACTTAGCTAATTGTCCCTAAAGTGCCAGTCTGAGTCCCTGATGTGGGAGAACTAGTTAAGCACAAATTAAAATATGTCGAGTTGAAAGCAAACAAAACAAAACAAAAAATCTCTGATATCCCTCAACAAGGGTTGTTTGTAGCTTCATTAAACCCTAAAGAAATAGAGATGTTCCATTTAAGGTTGTAATGAAGCCATAAACACCAAATCCCTCCCTGACACAGCCGCACTGGGCACTCTTGTTGGGCCTGCATCCAGTTCAGACACTATTTGTGTTCCTCATAGGAACTGCTACCGACTTTTGTAACTATCTTTTGTAAGTATCTTTTGCAAGAAGAGATTATCCTTAGATCGAGAAAAAGTAGTAAGCATTCCATTCTTGCTCCACTAATCTGGAAACAATCAGAGCTGTATAGGTAGCATCCTGCTTCCTAAAGTATTTGCTTGACAATTTATTGAGATTTGTGTGTGGGGGGGGAAATATTGGTTTATACAAGGGCTTGTGAATTTATGTATGTTTTCAAAAAAACTACAACATCTGGACTTTTTTTTTTTTTATTTATTTGACAGAGGGAGAGAGAGCATGAGAAGGCAGCATAACAGGTAGAGGGATAGGGAGAAGCAGCCTCCCTCACGAGCAAGGAGCCAGACGTGGGCCCTGATCCCAGGACTCTGGGAACAAGACGTGACCGAAGGCAATCACTCAACCAACTGAGCCACCCAGGTGCCCCGCTTCTGAGCCTTCTTGAGTAGTTACACTGGAAGCTGTATCTACTGAGTATCTACTGAGGTGGAGGGGAGTAAGTTTACAACGCAAGTGTTGTAATTTCTATTTCACTCATTTGTTCATTCATTCATTTGTTCACTCATTCAGCAAAAAGTTTCTTTTATGCCCTTCTATAGCAAAAATGGAACTAAATACTGGGGAAAGAGAAATGAGAACCTATGGTCGAGGGCTTAAACATCCGAATGGAGAGACAGAGGTACAGGTAGACAAAACACAATGCGCTTGTGAATGCCAAATCCCATTTTAGTCAAGAGCTGTTGTTCCAGTCTTGACCATGTGCTGCATCCATGGGCAAACAGAAGACCAGTTTGATTGGATTTTCCTATTCATTTTTCATGCTCATACTCTAACAGAACTAAAAACTGCTGAAAAGACAAAAATTAACTGGAAGCTGGAAGAACAACAGGAAGGGGATGCAGAGAGTCTATAAAGTACGTTGCAAGGCTATAATAGTTCAAAGACAGCCACAGCAGAAAAGACATCCCTGAGGTGAAGAGTCCATTACAGTGGTTTTTTTTTTCTTTTTCTTTCTTCTTTTCCTTTTCCCTGCTACTGCTCCTCCTCCCCTTCTCCCTCTTCTCCACCCTTTCCTCCTCCTCCTTTCTCCCTCCTTCTTTCGATCCCCCTCCGTCTCTCTCTCTTTAGCAGCAGCAAGGTAGCTAAAACTAAAGACAACTTTCTGATTTTCTTTCTAGATCATTCCTCACCCTATCTTTCAATTCCTTTACTCTTCGTATTCAAACGATGTGATAGTCCTTCCTCAGGTGGATTTATAGACTAGATTCAGCTTGTAACAACTTCACTTTGAATAACTTGAAACAACTGATTCAGTTTTTCCCAACGAAAAGAAGTGTGCTTTATTCTTTGATCCATGAATTTGTTGGCAAGGTGAAATGGGAGGAAAAGAAGACCATCAGATCTATTGCAGGTGATCTCAGAAAACCAATTTACCCCTACACCTGCTTCCTGAAATTCTACATTCAAGAGCTGCAGTCTTTACCTGAAACTTTGGTGAATGAAAGGGGTTTGTTCCCAACACTATAATAATTTCAAATATTTTGTTAATGATTTTCATTTCCAAACTCCACGGACATGTGCCTAGTCTCAAGTGAAGAGCTATGCTGCTCGCAGGTGTAAGCTGGCCTCTACGTCAGCAGCCGAAGGGGAGATTCCAAACTGCCTTCTACCCACACTTTGGATTCAAATCTCAGCTCCCCTACTTTCTAGCTGTCATTTTGGACAAGTACGTTAACCTCCTCAGGTCCAAGTTGCCTTATCAGTGAAGTAAGGCTAATAATTGTTATCTATATACAGATAGCTATATAAAGAGTGGCTGTAAAGATTAAACTCGATAAAGCAGGTAAAACCTTTAACCGATGCCTACCTTGCAACAAGCATTCAATCATATCACCTTTGTTGTCATGAGTACTGTTTTGTCGTTAATGTCGATAGCCTTATCTTATAATAAGTGGTCACATATGAAACACTTTTATGTAATCATTGATTATATTGCTTTTCTCCCTTAACTATGGGACTGTGTCTTTCTCGACCAGTGTCAAGTGTAGAGCCTGGCATAGTGTCGACATCTGCTAAGCGTCCTTTGTTCTTTGTATTTTGAGTAAATGAACAAATTTAACCATGTAGAAGTTTCAGATTAAAGAAACAAACAGTAAAAAGTCAGCCTGTACTAGTGGTGTACTTCAATTTTTTAGCTTTAAACTTGATAATCCAGTATCTTTTCTCATAAATACAATGGCAAACAAAAATTCATTGAAAGGGAAGTCAGAGTATTGACCCTTAATCATTAACTTCAAAAGTCATCTTCAAACCTAGGGTCAGTCAGAGGAGAATGACCAGACAACAAACGGGGAGGGACGATGCAAGAGTCTGGGTCGAAGATGGGGGCTGCTGATCAGTGGATTGGCACAGGACGTTTCATAAACTCGGGATGGACAAGATTTGGCAATGCGGGAGGAGGGATAGGAAGGGCTCTCACGAGCGGTATCCTGCAACAAGGACGTGAATTCCTCTCAATTCCTCCTTTCAGTTCCAATGGTCTGCTTTGATCAAGACGACAAATATTTTAAAATCCATCTTTGTAAAGCTAATACCTTTGTCATTGTATGAACAAATACCTGAATCATCCCTTTTTTGGACATGGAGCCATCAAGTTGAATGATAATTCCACTACCTAGGGTTCTCCTGGGACTCAGCTTTAGAATGACAGCACATATTTTACTTCCCATGCATTTCCATTTATTTCATGCAGAAGTCATTCTAACATTGTTCAAAATACAGATAGCATGGGATTTTATATGACAGAGGCACCGTGGAAGTCACCCAAGAGTTTTTATTCATAGATGGTAGACAAAATCTTATCTAGCATGCATGCCCAAAAGGGAACAAAAGATATGCATTATGATTCATCTGGTTAAATACTGAATATTAGAAATCACGGAGGAAAGGTCTGATTTTCTTTTCTCTGTTTGGATTGACAGAAAAAAGAAAACTGAATGAGGATCCCTGATAGGATGATTCCCAGGTTTGGATGCTGCACTTAGCCTGATAGCACATTCTTTAAAAAAAAAAAAAAAAAAAAAAAAAAAAAAATTCTGTATATTCTAGGCTGCCTATGTCATTTGGTGCAAAGAAATACTCATGCTTAGTTGCTTAACCAAAGAACAAGGAGTGCCCTGGGCACTAGAGGAGGCCTGAAGTTACACACAGGGCAGGGTTCAGGTGGAAGCTTGCTATCCCCATTGACGAGCACAGGCTGTTGGTAGAAGTGTGCGTGGTGGTCCCAGTCAGTGGTAGCTCATCAGAAGATGCTCTATGTTCCATGCTGTAGACACACTCACACCTGCGTTTACCCAACCTGAAGCTTTGAGAAGCAAGCTGAGAAGGGGTGGGCTGGCACTAACATGACCACGCTGCCCACAATGTTCACTTTGCTGCTGTCTTTTCCATCCTGATGGGTCTCTTTGCTAACAAGGGTCAGAAAGCTCTCATGGCACATAATGAGAATGCCTGTGTGTTGCTTAATGCAATTTGCCTGGGACATGAGCCATCATCCAGAAAGGGGTGGCTTGGAAGACTGATGATAAAACTTTACAAAGTTCCTCAGCCTCCAGTGAGGGATTAAACCTCACTCTAAAGGCGCCTGGGTGGCTCAGTTGTTAAGCGTCTGCCCTTGGCTCAGGTCATGATCCCAGGGTCCTGGGATCAAACCTCACATCGGGCTCCCCACTCAGCAGAGAGCCTGCTTCTCCCTCTCCCACTCCCCCTGCTTGTGCTTCCTCTCTTGCTGTGTCTCTTTCTGTCAAATAAATAAATTCTTAAACAAACAAACAAACAAACAAAAAAACCCTAGCTCTAACCAGCTGGCATCTCAATATGATTACTATTTAGCTAATGGGACATTCGGCACATCAGTTAAGAACAGAACACAAATTTTCATTTTGGCTTTGGTATTGAACATTAAAGCAGTTTTAATAAACTAATGACATGAGTGAGTCTTAAGCCTATACCAGTAGGAAACTACATGGTTTGAAAGCCATTTCACATTTTACTTATAAACGTAGAATAATGGAGGAAGAGGGCAATTTTCAAGGGCATCTTTCCTTTTCTAGCTTGACCAAGAGGAGGGCAGGGGTGAGCAGAGAAGAATGTGGTCAATTCTCAGAAAGGTGGAAGGGTTCAAGGATGAAGTGACTTTGGGTTAAAGCTCTGCTTTTACTGAATTTATGTCTGAACCACTTTTGTATGATGGGCCTGCTTCTTTTTTCTTCCCTGGAGGGGTGCACTCTTGGTGCAGGCTTCTGTATAATACGGCTTTTCTAAGAATACTGATGTTGGGCTCTGGTCATTTTTGCTCAGCGACTGCACTGGGGCATATTAATGACCAGAATGAATTTTTATTTAATAGATAATAAAAAGTTAAAAGACTCTTTTAGCTCTTAAAGGGATATATAGGGTAGTTCTGTCTCCAGA